TAAATGACACTACACACACCTGTTCTGAGATTAAGAGACAATGATGGCAGAGAAGTTCCTTGTGAGTGTAAAGAGCTTTAGTGAAATTGGTAATGGTGGTGGCTGATGTATAACATATTAAAGCTCTATGCTGGGAAGGCTAAGTAAACTCGACAGTAAAAACTCCTGATCACAGGACTTCCAGAAGGATCGTCCAGAGGGGAAAAAAGCTCTTCTCAATCTCCCATATGATACAGATGTGGGAAGAGTCACAGCCACTGCCAACAACATGAAAAAGAAAGCATGTGTGTGTCCTGAGCAGCTGGAAGACAGTGGTGGGAGCTACTGGTCTTATCATGGGGTCTGAACCACATGCTTTCCTGCAGATGACAGCGAAAGAGACTGAAGGTTGATGGAGGGAGACCTGTGTGGTATAAGACCCGCTGCTATGAAGTGTTTCGCCACCCCACTCCTGAGCCCTTCTCTCACAACAGGTACTTGCCGGCAATGATGGACTAGGTGGGTTGGGCCAATCTTCCTGAAGAAGACAATTTAGAAAAGCAAGATAACCATCATTCTTCACAGAACTAGAAAAAACAATCCTAAAATTCGTACCAAAAAAAAAAGAGCCCACATAGCCAAAGCAACACTAAGCAAAAAGAACAAACAAAAGAAGACATCACATCACCTGATTTCAAACTATACTATAAGGCCATAGTTACCAAAACAGCATGGTACTGGTATAAAAATAGGCACATAGGCCAAGGGAACAGAATAGAGAACCCAGAAATAAACCCAAATACTTACAGTCAACTGACCTTCAACAAAGCCAACAAAAACATAAAGTGGGGAAAGGACACCCCGTACAACAAATGGTGCTGAGATCATTGGCTAGCCTCATGTGGGAGAGTAAGACTGGATCCTTGTGTCTCACCTTGTACAAGAATCACCTCAAGATGGATGAAGGACTTAAACCTAAGACCTGAAACTATAAAAATTCTGGAAGATAACATCAGAAAAACCCTTCTAGACATTGGCTTAGGCAAGGACTTCATGACCAAGAACCCAAAAGCAAATGCGATTAAAAACAAAGATAAATAGCTGGGACTTAATTAAACTAAAGAGCTTTTCCACGGCAAAACCAGTCAGCCGAGTAAACAGAAAACCAACAGAGTGAGAGAAAATCTTCACCATTGATACATCCGATAAAGGACCAATATCCAGAATCTACAACAAACTCAAATTAGCAAGAAGAAACCAAACAATCCCATCAAAAGTGGGCTAAGAACATGAACAGACAATTCTCAGAAGAAGTTATACAAATGGCCAACAAACATACAAAAAAATGCTCAATATCACTAATGATCAGGGAAGCAAATCAAAACCACAATGTGATACCACCTTACTCCTGCAAGAATGACCAGAATCAAAAAATAATAGATGCTGGTGTACATGCGGTGAGCAGGGAACACTTCTACACTGCTGGTGGGAATGTAAACTAGTACAACCACTATGGAAAACAGTGTGGAGATGTCTTTTTTTTTTTTTTTTTTTTTTTTGAGATGGAGTCTCCCCCTGTCACCCAGGCCAGAGTGCAGTGGTGCAATCTTGGCTCACTGCAACCTCCTCCTCTCAGGTTCAAGCGATTCTCCTGCCTCAGTCACCCAAGCAGCTGGGACTACAGGCACCTGCCACTACACCTGGCTAATTTTTGTATTTTTAGTAGAGACAGGGTTTCACCATGTTAGCCAGGATGGTCTCGATCTCCTGACTTTGTGATCTGCCTGCCTCGGCCTCCCAAAGTGCTGGGATTACAGGCATGAGCCACCGCACCCGACCTGGAGGTTTCTTAAAAGAACTAAAAGTAGAACCACCATTCGATTCAGCAATCCCACTACTGGGTATCTACCCAGAGTAAAAGAAGGCATTATATGAAAAATACACTTGCACACACGTTTATAACAGCACAATCCACAACTGCAAAAATGTGGAACCAACCCAAATGCCTGATAGTGAGCAATGCCTGGGCCGAAATCCAGAAGAAGATGGAAATTCAGAAGGGAAGCCTGGTAGCTGGGGCTGCCTTGCCATCCCAAGGGGGCAGCTGAGGGGCAAGGTAGAGTGAGAAGAGAGATCCAAGTTGTGGTCCAGGGCATGCCAAGGACGGACGGGGTCCCTGGCGAAACACCCACAAGCAGGATGGAGACCCCAACGGAATGTAACTTGGAGTTAAGAGTGAACTGAAAGAAATATAAATCTACCTTTGAATGGGCCGCAGGCTGCCTTAAAGTTACCTGGGTGGCTCTTGAATAGACTGCAGGCTGCCTTAAAGTTACCTGGGTGGCTCTGAAAACCTCAAACCCTGAATTTAGAATAAACTGATTCTGGAGTGCTAACACCCCCAAGCATGTGGGCGAGGCAACGGAAAATGCTCCTTGGTAGTGGAAAGCAGAGTTCTAGGAATCAAGTTATTTCCATAGGAACAACTGGGGACGCACATGAAAAAGAATGAAGTTGGACCCCTACTTCACACTGTAGGCAAAATATTAAATCCAAGTGGATCAAAAGTTTAAACGTAAGAGCTAACGCTGTAAACTTTTCAGAATAAAGTATACATGTAAACAGAATAAAGTATACATGTAAACCTTCAGGACCCTGAATCAAGTAATCATTTCTTACATATGACCCAAGAAGCAATAAAGAGCAAGGAAGAACTGAAATCTGCTTCCACATGGACGGACCTTGAAAACACGACACTAAGTGAAAGAAGCCAGGCGCAGAAGCCCATGCACTGTAAGAGCCACTTCTGTGAAATGCTGACAACAGGCAGCACAGGAAGCAGGTAAGTGGCTGCCTAAGATGGACAGGGGCGGTGGTAAAAGGGCAGTGACTGCTAATGGGTACAGCGTTCTTTGTTGTTGAGACAGGGTCTCACTCCTATCACCCAGGCTGGAGTACAGTGGTGTAGTCACAGCTCACTGCAGCCACAACCTCCCAAGCTCAGGTGATTCTCCCACCTCAGTCCCCCGAGTAGCTGGGACTACAGGCACATGCCACCACGCCCGGCTGATTTTCTGTATCTTTTAGTAGAGACAGGGTTTCTGCATGTTGTCTAGGCTGGTCTCAAACTCCCAGGCTCAAGCAATCGGCCCACCTTGGCTCCCAAAGGGCTGGGATTACAGGCATGAGCTGCTGCGCCCAGCCAGTACAACGTTCTTTTGGGAGCGATGAAATTCAGAATCTAGATTATAGTGATGGCTGCACAACTCAGGGAATACACCCAAAAAAAACACTGAATTGGACTTGAAAAGGGTGAATTTACGGTATGTGAATTATACCTCAATAAAGCTATTATAAAAAAATTATTTCAATAATTTTTCCCCTAATATAATGCCTAGCGTGAACTTGCGATAACCTGGCACAAGGATGACAAACATGACCTGAACAAGAACACCACAACAGACAACAGAACCAGGTTCAAACTCCACCACAACCACTGTCAAACCACCATGATGATGACATTCATGAAGACAAAAGTCAACGTTTCTAAAAGAAATTTAAAACTGCACAAATAGTATTTCTGGCTTGAAGAAGAAACAACTACAAATTCTAGATAAAAGCCAAAACGAACTCTAAAAAAAAAACAAACCAAAAAGATTAGAGATTCCAGGACTGCACACTACTGCCATGGACGGAATGTGTTCCCCCAAATTCATATCCTGAAATCCTAACCCTCAGGAGGATGGTGTTACGAGGCAGAACCTCTGGGAAGTGATAGGTCATGAGGGCAGAGCCCCCACAAATGGGATTGGTGCCCTTATAAAAGAGGCCCTAGAGACCTGCCTTGTCCCGTCCACCACATGAGGACACAGATGGAAGGTGCCATCTGTGGACCAGGAAGCAGGCCCTCACCAGACACTGAATGGAACGGTCCCTTGATCTTGGACTTCCCAGCCTCCAGAACTGTGAGAAATACATTTGTTGTAAATAATGTATTTCTGTAATGTAATGTAATAATGAAATAATGTATTTCTGTAATGTAATGTAAATAATGTAAATAAACCCAGTTTATCATATTCATCAGAGCAATCGAAATAGACTAAGACAACTACCATCACCAAAATTAAGAACCCAGTGAACAGGAACAAATTTAATGGCAGATTAGAAGCAGCCAAAGAGAGAAATAATGGGCTGGAAAGTAACAAGAAAAATAAACCAGGCTAAAGAAGAAAAAAGAATGGTAGGGCTGGACACGATGGCTCACGCTTGTAATCCCAGCACTTTGGGAGGTCAAGGTGAGTGGATCGCTTGAGCTCATGAGTTCGAGACCAGCCTGGGCCACATGCAGAAATGCTGTCTCTAGAAAAGATACAAAAATTAGCTAGGCATGGTGGCACGTAATCCAACCTAACTTAGGAGGCTGAGGTGGGAGGATTGATTGAGCCCAGGAGGCAGAGGTTGTAGTGATCCAAGATCATACCACTGCATTCCAGCCTGGGCAACAGAGCCAAGCCTTGTTTCAACAAAGAAAAGACGTTGGTAAATACAAAAAGAGAATAGAAGTAAATATAGTGAGAAAGCCTAACATATATTTAAATGTATTCTCAGGGAAGAAGGAGAAATGGGGAAAAGCTGTATTTTAAGAAAATGGCTGAAAATTTTTCCCAAAACTTGAAAGATAACAATCCACAACATTTCAGAAGCCCAGCCAATCCCAAGCAGAATCAAATTTTAAAAGAATCCATATGCAGACACAATAAAGTGACGCTGTAGAAAATAAAAGTAAAAGAGAAAGTCGTAGAAGCAGCCTACAGAGACAAGCTGCCTTTTAAATATAAGAGTGAAAGTGACATGGGTTTCTGATTAACCTCCACATCATCCGAATATTTAGCTATTAAAGATGAAACTCTTTGAGTTAATCCATCTTGCCTATGCTTGAACAAAATAAAAATTATAATTAAAATGGATCTCAGAAAGGCAGGTGGTACTGAAATGGCTGCGAAACACAGCAGACAACCTACCTTCAGCCACTGCTCGGCCTGCTCCTTGCTCTGGACAGCAAGCACCAGCGGGTCCGTGCCCTGCTGAGTTATCTTCAGCTCGTGCTTCTTCTTTTTGCTGTCTTTCGGGATGTACGTAATATTGCAGCCTTGCAGCGGCAGTTCCATCTGAGGCTGCTGGTCCTTGGAACTTTTATAGCACTGCATTCAACACAACAAATCAACTGATATTACAAGGGAGTTCAAACAGAAACGCTGAAGAAACTCTAGCATCATGAAAACGTAAGTGTGGGCATGGCATCGTAAGGTCTGAATCTGCAGATGAGCAGGTTCACACACACAGTGCTCTTCACCAACACTTCGCCTCCAAGTGTGAAGAAGCACACCCATTCACTGACTCACAAAAGCTTACTGAGCATCTAACGCTGGATTCAACAAACACCAAAAGTCCCTCCTCTGATACATTTATGATCCAGTGGAGCTTCTCCATTGAATTACAGGAATGTATTTACATAACTAAAAACATAGGCTGGGCACGATGGCTCACGCCTGTAATCCCAACACTTTGGGAGGCTGAGGCAGGTGGATCACTTGAGTCCAGGGATTCGAGATCAGCCTAGGCCACATGAAGAAACCCCATCTATACCAAAACCACAAAAAATCAGCCAGGCATGGTGGCGCGGTCCTGTACTCCCAGCTGCTTGAGAGGCTGAGGCAGGAGGATCCCTTGAGCCTGGGAGCCTGAGGCTGTAGTGAGCCATAATGGCACCACTGCACTCCAGCCTGGGTGACAGAGAGAGACTGTCTCAAACAAACAAAACAAAACAAAACAAAACACCCAACATGCACACATAAATCTATATTTAACATGTTTATTTAAATGTATATGTAGAATACATTTATATTTATGTGAATAATATATAAAATATACTATTAGATTTGTTGCAACTCCACAGCCCTAATGAGAGATAATGTAATCATTCGGGTACTTTATTTAATAACTGATATTGCTTGGTATCTGCCTATCTCATCTTCTTTCTGAAAGACTTAAATTATTTTAGTAAGAGGATAACATCAATACATAGTATACAAAGCTGATCTATCTACACAACGGACATTCACTCTAAAGATTTTGATTGGTAAGATTAGAACTGAGACTTAAATGGGTCTTGCTTAATCTTTATCTGTAAAACTGAAAATCAAATCCTTGCCCAAAGCTTTCCCTACCCCCGTTTGTTTACCTGTACTACTTGGGGCCAAAGCATACCTCCTAACAGTCCAAGAGGGCAGATCTGGGTCCTGGAGTGCAGTGGCACAATCTCGGCTCACTGCAAGCTCCGCCTCCTGGGTTCACGCCATTCTCCTGCCTCAGCCTCCCGAGTAGCTGGGACTACAGGCGACGCCACCATGCCCGGCTAATTTTTTGTATTTTTAGTAGAAACAGGGTTTCACCGTGTTAGCCAGAATGGTCTCGATCTCCTGACCTCGTGATCCACCCACCTGCCTCAGCCTCCCAAAGTGCTGGGATTACAGGTGTGAGCCACCATGCCTGGCCCAGGGAGTTTCTTAAACTTCTGTTTCCTCATTTGCAAAACGTGTTTTGCAGTTATTGTTATTATTATTTTATTAAATCATCAGCAACAATAACATCTGCTACCAAGTGCTGAGTTTCAACATCATATGAGGCATTTCAAGCACCTCAGTCGGCACGGTGGCTCATTCTGCAGATTATGAAACCGGGTGCAGCTGGTTAAGTCACCTGCCTGAAGAGTCAGGCAACCTGAAAAGCGACAGACCAGGACTCCAGCCCCAACTGTGCACGTGCAGAGCCTGCATCTTGACTCTAAACATTCACTGATGAAGGAAGGAATGATGAATAGACAGCTATTTTCAGAAGGGATTTCTAGAGTCCTTTCCTGGTTTGTTTCGTGTGTGTGTGTGTTTTGTTTTTTTGTTTGTTTGTTGAGACGGAGTCTCACTATGTTGCCCAGACTGGAGTTCAGTGGCACAATCTTGGCTCACTGCAACCTCCGCCTCCGGGGTTCAAGCAATTATCCTGCCTCAGCTTCCTGAGTAACTGGGACTACAGGCGTGCGCCACCACACCTGGCTAATTTTTGTATTTTTAGTAGAGACAGGGTTTCAGCAGATTGGCCAGGCTGGTCTCAAACTTCTAACCTCATGATCCGCCTGCCTCAGCATCCCAAAGTGCTGGGATTACAGGTGAGCCACAGTGCCTGGCCTTCCTCTTTTGCTGTTCTAAATCCAGTACTTTGAAGTACACAGATAAGAAATATATCTCCTTTTTAAAAACTCAACTGATCTGAAAAGGAAGAAAAAAATACCTCAACTAACCTCAGATTTTTTGCATTTTGAGTACATATAAAAAGAAAGGTGAAAGGCAACTAATCGTACAATGGAAGGAATCGGAAAGGGAATTTTATTTTTTTATTTTGAATTGTGTAAACCTTTGTAATCGACACATAATAACTGCACGTATCCATGGGGTACAGAGAGACGTTTTGATACATAAAATGTATAGCGATCAGATTAGGGTAATTAGCATGCCCACCATCTCGAACACTTATTTCAGAAAGGGAACTTTATAACATATTCCTCCTTAAGTTAAACGTCTCACAAGAGATATGCTATCAGCAATAGGACAAGCTGCAATCTGGCAGTCCCAGCAGGCTGGATTTCCTGGGAAGCCGCCTCTACAGCAGACAGCAGCATGCAGGAGGTTCATGAACCGGCGTCCTGAAGACAACACCAGGAGCAAGGAGAGGGAGGAGTGGGGTGGGCAAAGATGCCCAGTTTGAGTGGCCTCAGGGATGGATACCACCATGACAGCTCTGGGGCTGGAAGGCCCCATCAGAGCTGCCCAGTGAGTCTGGGTCTGTACCTCCCACACACACACACTGAATGCAGACCCCTGGGGAGGGAGCTTGGCCTTGGTCTCTAGGCCCCTCTTCAATGCAGACAGTCCCCGAGGTGGGTTCACCAGTCCTGCCAAGGAAATGAGACCTTCAGTCCTGAAGCGGGAATCTGGGTACATCACAGTACCCACCCCAGAGCTACCTGAGCACAGAAGGAACAAGTTCCAGAAGGAGATACAATAAAAGCTGTTAATGGCGGTAACCTGTGGGAAGACAGACTGGGAACATTTAGGGGAAGAACACGGCTTTTTCTTTTCTGTGCTGTTTAAACTTGGAAAGCATTTGCTTTTATCACTGTTCATTATTTTTTATGCCGATGGGGGTCATCTGGGCCCTGAATGACAGGTCACTTTTGAAAGGAAAAAAGCTTCATCATAAAAACAACTTTGATTCTGCATTTGACCAAAGACAGTGCTTTAACCTGCTTGTCCACTAATTTCTTCTCAAATATTCACAACTACTCTAAGTCGTAGGTATTATCATCCTGGTTTTGAAGGGGAAAGCTGGTAGGAGCCCAAATAGAAGACAAAGCAGGGGATGGGGGAAGAAGTCAGGGTATGAGGGAGAGGAAGGCAGGGGAGAGGGACCAGGGACTCAGAACCCCAAACCGTTAATCCCTACGCACAAGCACGAAGCTTCCCTCACTGGATTTGGAAGCTTCTCTTTTAAATGAAAGTTGATTATGCATTTCTAAAACATTTATATAATATATCCACATCTTGTAGCCATTATATCAGACTGTAAATAAGGACCACATTAATCTTCTTTTTCTCATTTTTTAATATTCCCTATGGCATCATTTTTGGCACATTCTAAATCTGGGAGAAATTCAGGCCACACTTGTGGAAAAAATATGTACTCTGTTTAAAAAACTGAACAAAAACATTAAAAAATATATAATATCCTAGGAACCTAGTTTAAAAAAAAAAAAAAAAGATTCCCACAATTTGAAGACGAAGCCTGGATTTACCGAAAAAAAAAAAAAAAAAAAAGGACTATCTGTTCCACTAGAGTGCTCTACAGAAACATAAATTCTCGTTTTCTAATTAATGATATAATCTTGAGCAAAGTTTCCCCCAAGGTTAATCTGAAGGAAGAACAAAAGGCAAAAACATACTCTTAAAGTTCATAATTCCAATAACCAACCACGGTTTCTAAAAAAAGGCAGGAGGCAAAAAGGCAAGGTGGAGAGGGAGTGGGGAGGAGGGAGGAGGGAGGGATGCCACACAGCGTCCTCCTGGGCTGCAGCCTCCCTGCTGGGGCCTCCACTAGAATAACCCCACAGCAAGGTCCAGGTTCTCCCCTTCCCTGCTTCTCTGTTCCTTACTTGTCTTCCTGTTCTGCCTCTCAGATTAAAAAAAAAAGAATTGGCCCCAAGCTTTCCAAAAGAATTTCCTTTCTGGCTGCTCCCCGTCCCACTTCTATGAGCTGGCTTTGAGGAATCCACTGACTCATTACAAATGAGAAAATCCATCTTGCAACTCCTGGCAAGTTAAAATCTTGTGCATTTCCACAGACGCAAACCACAGGCACTGCCCGGGAATGGGAATGATTTTGTCTGCTGGCTGCTTTTGGAGCTGGGAAACCAGCAACCTTGAACACACAACATGGGTGGGTGCTCCCTGACAGTGTGTGGGGGCCCCCGGCGTGGGAGCCCCTGGCGTGGGACTGCGGCGAGCTCAGGGTACCTGGCTGAGGTCTGAGTGCTGCCCTTCCTGCACAGTTGATGTTAATGGTGACTGGATATAAACTCCATGGCTTTTGAGTGTAGCAATCTTACAAAAATGCAAGTGATTCCAAATGTCTTACCAGCAGCTTGGTGTCTTTGATGACGCAGAGCAACTTGGTCCACTGGCCGAACCGCTTCTTCCGCAACAAGAAGGCGCAGATTTTGGCGTCCTTGACCAGGTCCATGGAGGCCTCCTCGGAGGGCCACTGGTGCCGGGTTTTCTTCCCCTTCCCATCCTCCTCCTCTTCATCATACGATTCATAAGAGCTGCTCATCGCATCAGAATCATAATCTGTAAAAAATAAACATACACTGGTAAAAGGACTTTTTTACCTTGAAGTTTACCCCTGGGCTCAAGAGCACAGCATCATGTTTTTAATCACCAAGTAACTGAATGAAAAAGGGACTTCTGCTCCTTAAGGGATAAAACAGTAATAACAAAACCACAATGCTAAGACTTGGGCAGTGGAAACTCAACGAAAAGTTGAAGTGCCTACAAATTCTGTGTTTATAAAAACTGTTTCTAGACTGTTTCATATGGACCGGACCCTACGCTGACGCGACACTGGCTTGACAGACTCCTCCCCACATTCTTGCCGGACGAGCGCCATCCTCATTCTGCAGTGTGTTCCGCCACACGGAACTCTTGCCCATGGACGTCCCTTGCCCTCCTGCGTCCATACCTTTATGTCACAGTCCTCCTGAGGCTGCAATCTGCCTCTCCCTGCTGGCATCCCCACACGCACAACATCTCTGACACTCAAGATGCCACCAACGGCCACCTCTCCCTTCTGGGGCATCCTGGGAACTTTCACAGAAATGTACGCCTGTCCTTCTAATGATGCCCATCTCACTCCGTGACACACTGGCATGTATACTGCTGTGACTGACAGTTTCCCAAACATATCGCCCCTCCGTCACCTCAGGGTCTCTGCATGTGCCACGCCCCCTAGCAAGCTTCCTGTCCATCCACTTGCCCTCCTGCCCTTGCCTGGTAAGTGCTCTCATCTTTCGGGGTTTAACTTCCTGATACCTCCTCCAGCAAACCCTCCCTGAATCACCAAAGCTGGGTGCTATGGACTGACCTGTGTCCCCCCGGAAATTCAAGTGTTGCAGCTCTAACCTCAATGACTGTATGTAGAGATAGGGCTTTTAGGAGGTTACTAAAGTTAAATGAGGTCTTAAGGGTGGGGTCCTAATCCCACAGGTCTGGTGGTCTTATAAGAAGAGAGAGAGACCTCTGTCCCCACCATGTGAGGACACAGTGAGAATTTAGCCATCTAAAAGCCAGGAAGAGGCCTCACCAGAACCGAACCGTGCTGGCGGTCTAACCTAGACTCCAGGACTGACGAGCTTCTGCTGTGGAAGCCCCGAGTCTGAGTCTCCACATGGCCCACCACAGAGCAGATGGCAGCACACCTCAACACTGACCCCCACTGCAGGCTGTAAGCCTCCTGAAGAAAAGGAGACCATCTCGTTGGAGGTGATCTCCCCAGCACCTAACAAAGTACAGGGCAAGTACCCAAGTAACTGTAGAAGGAAGCACTGTTAAATGTATTTAAAATATACTGGCAAAGCCCTCGGTAGGGTGAATGGCATAGTAAAAGTGCTTCCTAAATACCAGCGACCGTCTTTCCTCTCGTTACTTTCAGCTGTGCTGGGTGATAAGCTCCCTGAGACAGGATCCGATTCATCTCTGAATTCCCCTCAGGCCCCAGAATCATCTGGAACACGTTTCTTTTTCAAAACATACTTCAGGGATGAACACCTAAATGATAAATGAATGAGAGATAAGGAAAACAATGGCCAATGCGGCTGGCTGTGCAATGCAGCACAAGTGCCAAAAAGGGCAGAGTCTACACAGAAGAGAACACATATCTTTACTTGCTGGAAACTGGAGTTTAAGTTGTACTCAGTAATCATGTTTGTTTTATAATTTCCTTGCAAAGATTCAATACGAACAGGGAGGAATGGAAAGATTTAAGGTTTAAATTGAATTTTCCACAATGAAAAGTCATCCAGGAGGCCAGGTGTGGTGGCTCACACCTGTAATCCCAGCACTTTAGGAGGCCAAGGCGGGCGGATTGCTTGAGCCCAGGATTTCAAGACCAAGCCTGGGCAACATAGCGAGACTCCATCTCTATAAAGAGTAAAAAGCTGGCCGGGCATGGCAGGGCCCGCCTGTGGTCCCAGCTACTCAAGAGGCTGAGGCAGGAGGATCATCTGAGCCCAGGAGTCCGAGGTTGCAGTGAGCTGGATCCTGCCACTGCACTCCAGCCTGGGCAACAGAACAAGACTCTTTTTTTTTTTAAGTCCAGGAAGGATTTTAAGCAAAAACTAAGGAGACTGAAGAGGTAACTTTGGCAACAGCAATAGGAATGGGCTGAAGAAGGGACGAGGTAAGAGACAGGAGCAGCTCAGAGGCCATGAGGGACGCAGTGAGGGCTGACTCAAAGGTTGGAGGCAAACAGAACGTCCTGGTCTGGGTCACAGGTCTCTTCCCCGATTCTCCCCCTGCTTCACATCACCCCTCCGCCCACAGGTGGGTCGTTCTCACTGGCTCCACATCCCCCTCCAACTCACCCCACACACCCATCAGCACCTACACCCACCCAGCACCCCCGCTTCACACGGCAGCCACAGGTGGCTACTCACATTTCAATTTTCATTCAAGTCCCACATGTCAAGTGGATACTGGGGGCCCGGGGGAAAAACGCTCCCCCTGCTGCCAAAGCTCTGCTGGATGGGGGTGGAGGGGCAAGATCTTTACAGTCTAGGGCAAAATGCAAGCTGTCATGGAGCCGGGAACGAGGGGCAGCACACGCAGGGGCACAGGCAGAGAAGATGTCACTTTAGAGCCAGGCCTCAAGACAAGCTGTTGCCAACCAGAGGAAAAGGTCTGAGGAGAAACGCAATGAGCAAAGGCACTGACAAGCATTAGATGCTGCCAAGGCACAGTGGGTCCCTCTCAGCTTCTGGACAGGACGTGAGCGAGGCCACAGAGCAAAGTCCATGGTTACCATGGTTACCCTTGGCTGTGCTAGGAAGGGGCAGGGGGCTTCTGGGGCTGACGGGGTTCTACCCCTGACCTGTATGGTGGTTACACACATGGCTTCTTTATGATAAATCATTGACCATATACTCATATTTTATACACTTTCTGGTAAATGGATTTTACAACAACAGGGTTTTTAAAACAGCGAGCATGGCTAGAACAAGGGTATGTGGAAGGAAACGATGGAACATGAAATGAGAAGACGGGCAGAGGCCAGACCGCAGATCGCGTGCTGTGCTACGATCCAACGTAAACTGAGGGGTTCTGGAGGGGCCATGGACATCATCCTAGCTTTATTTCAGAAAGATTCTCATCGTGGCGTGGAGGACCACACAGCCCTCAGGGCTCGGCCACTTGCTGGAACATCAAGTTCAGTAAATAATGAAGTAAAGATTTAATGAGTCAATTAGTTATAAATGGGAAAACTACCTTTTATTTCACTCATTCGACAAATATGTTGTGAGCTCTACTCTATGCCAGGCACTTTTTAAAAATGATCTGTATTTACATAGCAGGTGCCAGGATAAAGCCATGAAAAGTCAGGCCTGCTCCAAATTTACAAAGGCTTCTCACATCCACCATCTCACTGGACCTCCCAGCCACTTGGAGATGGGCACATAAGACATTAGTCTTACTCCGAGAAAAGGAAGAATAATGCTCAAAGACTGCAAGAGTCATCCAGGATCACAGGCTTGGTGAATGACAGGACTGAAACGTGAACCCAGGCCTTCTGATTTTAAATGGAAAAAGTAAACTATGTTCTAGCAGCCCTTTCATCCTTGGGAATGAGTTGAGGTCTACAGCTATGAAAAAGACAATTAAGTTCATTGTCTTGCCTTCTTCTAAAAGTGTAGAAACAACAGACCGATTTTTAGAAAAACCAGCCAACTTAGCAGCAAACAAGGAACAGCCAGAAGTCACCGAGCCTAAAGGATAATGAACTCTCCGGAAACTATGCTTAGCGATGAACCAGTCAAGAGAACTCTCTGGAAAGTATGCTTAGTGAGGACCCAATCAAGAGAACTCTCCAGAAAGTATGCTTAGCGATGACCCAATCAAGAGAAGAGACTCTCACTCAGGATATCGCTTGGTAGCTCCACCAGCCAGAGCTGTAGTCTAGGACTTTGAGAAGTTCACCGTCTGGGGGACTGGGGTTTTGGATTACATTAAGAGGTAATGAACGCTTTGTGAAAAATTATGAAAAACTCAGAAATGGGGAGCAGGGAAAAGAATTCCTGATTGCCTTCTAGTCTTGTAGTAAGTGGTACAGGTATTCACAGAGATGAACAGGAAGGTCTTATTTCAGGGGTACTCAGAGGGGACATTGATTAGACACCATCAGGTCCATCCCATTCGGATGTCTACACTTCGTGTAGAGTAAGGCAGCAGACCAAAGGGCCAACAACAGAAGCGTGTGAACTCTGTTGAAAGCAGTCAGGACTCTCCAGGGAAATAGAAGCCATAGGAGATAGATAGATAGATTAGACAGATGGATGGATAGACAGATGCTCAGGTGGATGGATGGATGGATCTATGAATGGATGGACGGGTGATGGGTGAGTGGGTGGAAGGAGCGAGGGAGAGAAGGGAGGGAGGGAGGGAGGGAGGGAGGGAAGGAAGGAAGGAAGGAAGGAAGGAAGGAAGGAAGGAAGGAAGGAAGGAAGGCAGGCAGGCAGGCAGGCAGGCAGGCGATTTATTAGGGGGCATGGCTCACGTAATTACAGAGACCGAGAAATCCCATAACAAGCCGTCTACCAGCTGGAGACCCTAGGATGCTCGTAGCATGGCTCAGTCCGAGTCCAAAAACCTCAGCATCAGGGAGGCAGATGGTGAAACTCTCAGTCTGAGATGAAGGTCTGAGAATCCAGGAGGAGGGGAAGTGGGGGAGGGCAGCGGTGCTGGTATAAGTCCTGGGGTCCCAAGGCCGGGACGCCTGAAGTTCTGACCTCCAAGGGAGAAAGATGTCTCCCAGCTCAGGGAAAAGAGAGGCCCATCGGCTTTCCTGTGTCTGTCCTATCTGGGCCTCCAGCCTATCGGACGGTGCTGTCCACACTGAGGTTGGTCTTCCTGGTGTGGGCCACTCAGACCCACACGCCAGTGATCCCTAGAAACACCTCACAGATCCACCCAAAAATAATGCTTCACCAGTTCCCTAGGTCCTCCTAATCTAGTCAACTTCACACCTCAAATGCACCACCACACTCTTCACCAGAAACTAGCTTCATGGGCAGGAATTG